ACAACTACATAAACACTTAAAATGAAAACATTAAAAGCAGTACAAAACAATAATTAAAATGACTAGCTACTCAATATTAAAAAACATCATCCAACAGCCTAAAAGTCAAAAGTGAGAATGCCTGCCAAATCTCTGCTGGAAGAATGTTTCACAGAATCGGACTGGTGACAATAAACACCCAACTTCTAGAGGACAACTAATGGCAGACCTCCAGATGATCAGGCTGGGATATAAAGGCTCAAGTAGTCCTTAGGCATCCTCCATCCAAGTCATTCAGGGATTTGCATAGCAAAACAAGAACCTGGCCTGGGAGCAAATGGGAAGCCATTGTAGATGTTTTAGCAGAGGTGTAGCATGCTGCTGGCCATCTGCCTTCATCAGCAGTCTAGCCGTTGCCTTCTGCACCAGCTGGAGCTTCCAGCCAAGGACCATGGGCAACCCCACGTAAAGCACAGTGCAGTAATCCAGTCTTGAGATGGTTAACGCATGGAATACTGCGACCAAGTTACCCAAATCTAGATACCGCCATAACTGGCATACCAGATTAAATTATTGAGGTAGAGTTGTGTTGAGAAACTACCAGTACTTGTACCAAATAAAAGTGACACTTTATTTCATAGGCACCAATTCCTGCTGTAGCACAAACAGTGACTTTGAATGCTCATTCATAAAACAGTAGCAAAGATAAATCTGTATATCTTGTCTGGCTGCCCTTTGTGACTGCCCCTCATGCCATGACTTTAATTTTAGTAACATACATTAACATGGTGACCTGATTTCCAAGGGATAACAGAAATAGGTTCATAGTAATACCAGACTCTTTTTTGAAAATAACATCTGTTGATTCATACTGCATACAATCAAGATCTTGTGTGTTCTTTTCTTTAAAATAATATTGCTGCTAAACATTGCACAGATGGCTTGCAGTTAGGTTTTATTGGAAACAGATAAGAGCTTCAAAAGCTCCATTTGAAAACAACTAGGAAAGTAAATGGAACTAAATCATGCAAGCATTTGGAATATTGCATTGATTTCCACCCCTTTCCTGATGGATGTATTCTTTGTTTGTTTCTCCTGGTTATATTTGTTGGACTACGGTCCAGCTTAGCAATAGATGGTACATGCAGAGTTGCATGCAAGAGAAGCAGGTCCAGAAAGCATGAGTCTAGGCGGTTTCCCCTCTTGCTCGACACGTTTCCAAGGGAAAACCTACTCTTTAGTGATAGATTGGAACAAACATCAATCCAAATTGCCATTTGCTCCAATTGAGCGCTAAAGAGTGGTTTTCCGGGAGTGGGGGTGGGGAGCAGGGAAAAGCAGTGGGATAAGGGGAAGTGTAGATAAGACCTAAACTGACTAATCACCTTCCGCTGGTGATGCAAAGCTCTGCCCCAGGTCTACATGTTAGCATGGATGTGAGAGACAGGGAAGTTTTTGTGCATATGAGTTTTTTTAGTGTGTAGACATCACCAGAAACCTGATTGCATAGAGATTTTTGCATGAAGGCGTTTGGACCTCAGGCATCCCTAGTATTTGGAGCTGGAGCTGAAAGAAGCCAGGTTTCTTTGGCGATGGGGTCAAGAGTAAAAACCCATAATTCATCTGCACACTTTGCGCCTTCACACTAGTACTATGTGCTAGTGCAGAAGTGAAATGGGATATGAGCATCAAGCGGAGATGGACAATGGAGACATTTGCCAAGTCATGTACAATAAACAGATGCTGGTTATACCCACTGAGGAATTCTCATGCTTGGTTGGAACTTCCACATCTCATTAAGGAGAGTGGACTGCCCTAGAAAGACAGGGTCCTAGATCCTGGACCATATCCTAATCCAGTTACTTCTGACCATTATGGAAGGGACTGGGCTTTTTCTAACACATAACTTTTGGTGTTTTCAGAGACGTACCAGTTTGAAAAGAGTTGTGTTTGTAAGTCTGTGTTCAAACCTAAGCAGTTATAACAATTCCATTGAAAAGCAGTCCAAACGTTTAAAGACAGAATGACATTAGTGATTAAGCATCAAATTACTGATGTAGGATCACTTACCAAAGACTGAGATCTTTCGGGAGGTCCACATTTCGCAGAGGCAATTACTGGGGTGTTAGCCCTGCTAGTCATGCAAATGGTCTCATGTGGGTCTTGATTTTCCTTAACTGGTTCATATAAACTATCCATAGAGCCCTCCTGAAATTCAAGAGCATCATAATTGTTTTAGCAACTGTTCTATAATTGTATATTTTATTGTTGTAATCTGCCCTGGGATCTTATGGTAAAGGACCAGTAAGAAATAATGATTAGAATAGAATAGTATTCAGTCTGTCATACAAAGTCAGTTCACACAAGTATTGCTTCTATTTCTGATATTTTGGGGAGGGCCACTCTCTCTTATATTTCAAGTACAGTAAGAACAGCATGCCAAACAGCTGTTACAGGTTCCACAAAGTTTCCAGGGCAAAAGAAAATCGCACCAAGGGTCCACAGATGGTCAGAGGTCCACAATTACTGGGGGTGGGGTTTGCAACTATTTTAAATTGAGTATTTATCTTAATCTGCTGTACTCATGTGGAGGCCCGATTATGCCCAGGTCTGAAGATGTGAAAAAAGCAGGTGTTGAGGATCTTACAGTAAGTGGCAACATTGCCAGTTGCACCACTATCCTTGGTATGCCCCACTTGTCTGAGTTTATGGCAGGGAATTGGTCCAGGAATAGGCTCAGGGTTGGCCCCACCATTGGGCAAAGTGAAGCAGACACCACAGCTTATTTTGGGTGCCATGAAAGGGCAGCAGATGGTTATGTATTGTGGGACATTCTGCCTCGGGTGTCAAAATAACTTGGGCAGTCTTGGTACACAGTGGCCAACCAGATGCCCCTAGGAACCCCAGAAGCAGAACCTGAATGCAACAGCATTCTGCCCACCTGCCATTCTCAGCAACTGGTCTTCAGATGCATATTCATCTGGATTACATCCCACAAAGAAAGAGCTTTGTTTGCAGAACTATTGTTTTGCTTTAACAAAGATTAGCAAGAACAAGAATATTTTCTTTACACCATCCCTTTATTTGCTGAACCAAATATTGATAAACTGCAAAAGTGGCTCAGTGACTCTGAAAGTCGTTAAGACGATTAAGCTGCCACACTGTATTTAATATTAGGATTTACCAGTAAAATTTAGAGCCAACATATGGAAGAGAGATGGAGAAATGGAAGAAACCTTATTTGGGTTAATTCTTTTCATCTTCCAGCAGATGCAAGCAGATTCTATATCTTTTCTGTATGACTTGAAGAGAACTTTCCTCAGTTGAGTTTAACAAACCACAGAAAAGCCGGGATAACATCCCTTTGTCTTTCTCCACAGAAGTTGATTTCACACCAGATACATAATCTTCACAATTGTTACATACTGGATATGCAATTACAATTGCTTATGATTATTGGTTGTTTAGGAACCTCATGCAAAACCTTACTATAGCAAATTAATAAAATCCAACAGTGTCTTGCACATTGGGACAAAATAATTAAATTTCTGTCCCTAAATAGGCAGACTGTTTTGTGGACCTCTATATAAAAGAGGAATGGGAAAACTTTTCTAACTGGTGGGCTAGATTCTTAGATTTCCCATCCCACCTATATATCTGCCACACACCTGAAAATTCCCCAGTTTTCAGCTGCTTTTGCATGACCTCAGGTGAAGTATTTTCCTTTCCCACATAGTTTGAAATCAAACAATGCAGGCTAAAGCAGAGGGCTTTGCATGCATCAATGATCATCTGATCAGCAGAGCCTGCAAACCCCATTTCCTTTGCCTGTGTGGTTGGAAATCAGTTCACATGGCACAGGACTTGGTCGGTGTTGTCGATCATCTGTCTGGCAGTTTCTGAAAACCCAATTTTCAGAAGAAATCCACATTTGTAGCTGCTGATGTCATATAGGATATCACGTGTAAGGCAGGTGGGTGCAGCTTGGGGTAAATAAATTAGAATCCCTGCTGAGTCTAATTAGTCCCACAGGACAGATGTTCTCCATTGCTTCTAGAGACTCAATGCAAAGTTTTAAAGTCAGTAATGTCCAACCAACCTACAAAGCCACACACTGCTACATTGCTACATCTCTGCTCTGACCATCCTTTCCCAAAATGCTCCCCTCACCCTGTAAAAATGTCATGTTGGTGACCTTTCGGCAAGCCACCTCCAGACACTTATTCAGGGTTCAGTTTCCTTGGAATGAGAGACAGTGGAATCTGTGGTGTCTTTATGATATAAGGTTTATTTGCACATATAAATAACTCTGTAAGACAGAGTTGTTCCGCCTGGCCTTTGGCTTGGAGCCAATTTGATTCCCTCCCCCTCTTTCTTTTTTCTTTCTCCTCCTGCAATGAGGCTACATTTTAATATTTTAATATTTTAATGTTTCAATATTTTAATGTTGTATTTTAATTTTGTTTTTAAGTTGTATTCATTCAACTTGTTTTTATTATTGCTTGTTAGCCGCCTTGGCTGGGGAGGGCGGGGTATAAATAAAAATTATTATTATTATTATTATTATTATTATTAATACAACTTGAGCCTATGATGGAGGGGCTCACAGCATTAACTCCCCAGAAGGTCTTGCTTCTACTATAGTCACAGCCTTCGAATCAAGCAGAAATCAAGTCTCTGTCGCTCTCTCTCTCCCCTTCTGCCTTCTCCCTGCTTCTAGCCCAGCTCTCACACCCATTCTAAAGAAGTTCATTCAAAATCTTCAGTTCTGTTCTAAAGCCAATCAGATATGTCACAGGAAGATTCAGTTTTATAATGAGCAGGACTAGGCTGCCCCATTGGCACATGTGAGTCAGGGCAACATGTAATCCAAGATATATGGGACAATAGGCAGTTTCTAGCCAGCACACTCTGGCACCTTGCATAAAGAAGCCAAAATACATGGGTCACAAATGATTTGTTCAAAATTATAGAGTTGGAAAGGACCATGAGAGTCATCTAATGCAACCCCTTGCGATGCATGTATCTTTTACCCAATGTGGGACTCGAATCCATGACCCTGAGATTAAGAGTCTCATGTTCTACCAGCTGAGCTATCCTTTGATCTTATAATTCATTCAAAAGCTTTGAATTTGGTAATGGAATTTGTCTGAGCCAATTACCGCATTTCAAACTGAATTTTCCTGTTTTGAGAAATATGATGAAAAGTACTCAGCTAAAGCACCTTCTGTTTAAACATTTTGTATGTTTTAAACTATTGTAATTTGTTCTTGATTTCATGGTTTTATCTTGATGTAAACCGCATGGATGGTTTTGTTTTGTTTTTTTTAAAATCAAGGGGTGTATAAATTTTTATTAAATAAATAAATAACTATCTCTTGGCTCATGTTGTACATACAGCCACTTGCAGGGGCAAAATGGCCCAGATAATCCCTGATACGGCAATTATGTCTGCCTCATCTCAAGTGAAATGGAAACTTTCACTGATAGGTATAACGACAAGTGTTTTAAAAAAAATACTTCATTTATGTAATTCCATCTGAGGGAAATACATCAAGCCCTCTTGATCCTTAGTTTCATAGGAAATCAGCAAGAACAATCATTTTAACGAGGTTTGATGAGATAGAAGCCACTGTAAGGTGTGCTAATAGATTCTTGACCTGATCTCTATTCCAACTTCTTTGTATTCTCACTTTGTTGTTGGCTCGTTTAATGTACTTGCCACTGTAATTTACCAGTGTTCTTTTATGATGTATACAATAGAGGATTACAAATCTAAAAAGAAATGAAAACAAGATACTTGCATGTATTGAACTAGATCAAAATGTCACTTTAAAAAAATATTTCTTTTCAACAAATAAGCAATGTATTCAATTAAATTTTCATGGTAGAAGCATAAATATTCACAAACAGGTAGGAAAAACTGCTTGTTTGTTTGTTTGTTTTTTTAAAAAAACACCCTGCATTTGCTTTCACCATATGAAAAGATATTGAAACACTACAGCGCATAGACTAAAATATCTTGTGAAAAGAGCTGCATTTTACAATAGTACTTACACTTAAAGTGTGCTATCAAAGTTTTAAAACCTTATGGCATTTATATTGTGAGAACACACAATGTTCCACCCCCCCCCCCCCAGGTCACACTGCAACTGCATGAGTCTCAATATTTCAAAACACCATGTTAGAAATGGAATTCAAATCGTTTCTTGAATGCATGACACAAAGAGAAACTGTTTCATCTTCATGAATAAAAAAACGGCTCCACATGAACCATTAAGGGGGGTGGACATCAGTTCCACAGCTACCAGACAAAATACTTCTAAATCACGCTCCTCTCTGGTTTTATTTTATTTTTATTTTTATGATTTGCTTCCTTTGCTGTTCTATTCCCCTTCCCCTTACTAACCGAGAGTTTCATACTGTACACCCAACAGTTCTCTTTTTAACACCTTTAATCTCTGTCACCTGACTAAAGCTCATGTTTATAAAGTAAGGCAGACTAAGAAGAGACTTACCAGTGAAAAACAGAACAGATTCATTTTTCTCCGAAGTCAAAATTTGCAGCATTTACAAATATTATCCTCGTCCAAGGAATTGCAGCCACAGAATGCAGCTCCTTCTTGTCCTCCCCAGCTGTTTGAACATTTCTCCCTAGAGATTAGGGCAAGATAAAATCCCTGCAATAATCCACTGGATTCCCAGCCCATTATCAAATGAGACAGGATTGCCAGGGCCAGCACACGCAGTTCCTTAAATTAATGAACAATGTTTACCAACAAAACCAGATTAAGGTCCAGCAGCCTTGAATTTAATTTGCTCAGGTTACTGCACTTTTGTGATTCCAAAGCAAGCCTGACTGGCTCAGTTAGTGTCTACAGCGCCTACATTCCCAATGTTACACTTCGAAAAGAGTGTCACCATTCTTCTGGCAGGGCTTCCGAAAGACACCTATTCAACAAGTGCAGCACTGTGTTTTCTTGTAAGAAAAAGCATGCTTACCATGCAGTTTTCAGGACAAAGGGGTCATGCCAGGGGATAAAATGCCAATCCTAACTACAAATAACATATAAAATGCAACAGATGGCAGGGGCGCCAACTTGCCCTCCACATTGAGAGGACCCAGTGTCACGTGATGCACCCCGCCTCTGATCTTCACCCTCACCCCCTATAGTTGGCATCCCTGACAGTTGGTGCTTGAAAATCTGACATTTGAAACAGTAGAGCATTGTGGTGAAAAACCAGAGGGTAGTACCAACCATTTGCAAAGCCATTTAAACTTTCAATGAACTTGTAATTAGGGAAGAGGGCTGGAGATAACAGGAGTAGTTCTGTCAAGGGTGCTGTTAGAGGATGACTGAGACAGTCAAGAGTCCAAGGTCTATTGCCCTGCCTCTTCCTCACTCTCCCTCTTAAGAACTTTGCTTAAAGCCTGGTGCACTGCCTAGTGAAGTGCCAGTAAGACCACAACTACCCAACCTTAATTGCCCATATGCCTTCTATACCTTTGTGCATATTTATGTTATGGGTCTGAGTCCTGAATAACTACCTAGCAGTGCCCCGGAGCTCTCTGCTGCTTGGAGAAAATGTAGAAAGCTATGAGCAGTCGTTATGGCAAGGCTTCCTTCAAAAGGAAGGCTGTAGAACAGTTTTGAGCAGACTGGCTCAAAGAAGTGAAGCTTCACTTGTCCTCCATGCCAGGAAAATGTTCAGCTGCATGCCAGGAGCAGAGCAAGATAAAGAGGTGACAGTTGGACCCCTGTGGCTTGTTGTTTAAGAAGAGAATCCGAACACTTTCATACACCTATGAAGAAATCAAAAAAATGTGAAGCTAACAGCACAATCTTAGCTGTGCTTACTTAGATGTATGTTCCTCTTTGCTCAATGTGCTTACTGCTAGGAAAGCGTGCAGAATATTGCAAATCAGTGCAGTAACCACATTCCAAATAATTGACTTTCTATAAGACATTGTTTGAATGGCTTAGAATCCTAAAAAACAGAAACAGAAAAAAGTGTTTTGGGTAAGAGGCAAGAGAAGCATTACAAACTAACAAACTAACAAAAGCGGAAGTGATATCTCATGTGTAGAGCAATGTGTGAGTAAGACCATGCTAACTAACCACATCTACGATGCCATCTGCACTGACTAGTCCCACCCACCTGGATTTTGGAACATAGGAAGCTGCCTTTGTTGTTGTTTAGACGTTTAGTCATGTCCGACTCTTCGTGACCCCATGGACCAGAGCACACCAGGCACTTCTGTCTTCGGAAGCTGCCTTACATGGAGTCAAACCATTAGTCCATCTTAACTCTTTACCGTCTACAGTGACTGACAACACTCTCCAGAGTTCGGTCAGGGAGTCTTTCCCAGCACAACCCAACTAACTAATCCTCTCAAATCTAATGATTAATAAAAAATGTTTCAATTATTTCTTAATTTTTCATTAATTCTTCCCTCTTCTTCCTTTATTTTTCATGCAATAGGTTAATTTTGCAAATTTAACTAAATATCAGGGTGGAATTCAATGTAGTGCTAAGTCGAGTGTTGTTTCAGCATAAGGATTTCTCCTTGTGCAATTAATTTCTCCTTGTGCAATGTTCTTCCCCTCTCCTCCCCGCCCCACCTGCCTCCTAAATCTGCTCCACCATCCCTCTGGAACAGATCTGTGGATAGTGGCAGTGGGGGGGGGGAGAAGGGGGAGGTCCCATTGTACAAGTGGAACTCACTCCATATGCGCAATTATTTAGTTTAATACCACCCCAACAATTTATTTCACAGTCCTTCACTGTTGCTATTTCCTCATTTTTACAATGTTGGGATACTTATACCTTTGTAGCCATGATGAAGTAATATATAAACTATTTATCGCTTTTTGATCTAATTGCATTCATATATTCCAACAGAATTCTAATAGGATCCAATGGGATTTCTGCTTCTGAAGTTAGTGCCTCTTCAGTTATTATGTTTCCAAATTTTGAACATTAGGACATTTCTAACAACTAGCGTATCTACCTTATGATATCTGTTTTCTTCTCCATGAAGTGATGTACAACCTTGCTAATATCTTATATAAGTTTTCTAAAAATAGTGCATTTGGTGAAAGATGGCTAATCTTCTCCAGTGCCTATTTCTCAGGGCTTACTCAAGGGTATGCATACCAGCACCTCTCTTTTTGTTGCTGCTAAAAAGCGTGGCACTTCCTAACACCTCTCTCTTACACTTACTGTAACAACTTTATGGTGAGTACTGGCTCCTATTTTTCTAGGAAAAAAGCACTGGACTCTTTCCCCATATTGCATCCCATTCTCTGGAATGTCTTTATTACATTTTACCGCCAAGTTGTCACAATACTTATTTTTGTTCTTTGTTCAGTTCTAACATATATCATGGGGATCATTTTCTGGTTTCTTCTGTAATATTAGTTCTCAAAATTCAGCCCCTTTTCCTATTCTATTCCCTTTAAGACTTTCCAACAGAGTCAGTAAAGGCATTCTGCTGCTAGTTGTCAACCGTAGACAAATCAAGTGACAAAAGGGAATTGGGGGGGGGGCAGGGGCAACCATAGGCACCTTCATTTTAAATAAGAAAGTCTGTATTCCCCCCCCCCAAAAAAATGGTTTAGAAGTAAGAATTTCAGAAGTGAGAATCATGCAAACTTCTTAGCCTCAGTGGTAACCCTGCTAAGTTGGAAGTAAGTCCTTAGAATTAAGTACAATTTACTTCTGAGTAAACATGGTTAGGGTTGTGCTGCTTAGGTAGTTCCAAGACCAGAGCTTTCAAAACTGCGTTGCAACACATTAGTGTGTCGCACAAACACTCCCCACACTCCTCCTGGGGCTGGAAAGGGGTTAGTTTAATCTGCGGCTTGCTGGTAAAACTGAATAACTGTATCGTGAAATGATGCATGTCTAAAAAGTGTGTCACCAACATGAAAAGTTTGGAAAGCTCTGCCATAGACTTCTGTTTCTCACCTGCAGAGAATGTGCACTCACATGTGTGAGTTCCAAGATGCTGTATCTGTATCATTTGCACTTCTGGATGCCCACTTCCATGAAACATTTAAGATGGCACTGACAAAATCAGGTCAGAGGCCTTGGA